TTTTTTTTTAAGATTTATTTTAATTTATTTATGCATACAAGAGCTGGGGTACAGACCAGAGGTGTTGGGGTGAGAGGATTCACTAGGGACAGAGTGGAGAGCAGAACAGGAAGATCAACTGAAATACATTGCTGAGGGAAGCATGAGACAGGAGAGGTCTGCTGCACCATGTGGGTCACCTCTCTGGCAGGGGATCAACTTGTGCTGCTGTGGCTGCTATAGCTTGTGGTAATAGCTTTAAGTACTGAAACTTTAATCCCCGAGACACCAGGGAGGGCTACCTTACCTACAGAGTCTGATTTCTTTTCAGGTCCTTCTCCCTGAAGTTATGTACTGCCATTACCTTTAACTATACAACTTCCAAATCCTAAATCCAATCGTTTGTACTCCAGTTCCACTGCTCAGTTATCCCCATGATGGAATACATGTTTGACCTTCTAAGTCCTCCAAATGATGGGCTCTCTTATTTTTACTATCATTAGTCTCCCCTTGTTTGGCTTAGGTTCAATTTTATAATCATTCTTTTGCAAACAACCTCCAGCTTCTCTGCTTTCTCCTCCTTCCATTCTAACTTCCATTCTACCCCCTCAAAACCCAGTCATCTCCCTATGCTGTGCTGCAACTTAGAGGTTAAAGTTTGCTGAATGAAGTGTACATTGGTTTTACTAAATGGTTCTCAGGCAGGGGTGTTTTTATTGGAATTGCTTTCAGAGACTCAACATCATGGAGGGATTCTTGTCCTAAATCTCAGCTCACACATCACCAGTGTAGGTAGGTCTTCCTTGAATCTTTAGCACCGCTCCTGATCCCAGTACTCTCTCTCTCCATCTCCTTTTCCATTTCATATTTATTTATAGATTTCTGAAAATTTTATGGTTTGATACTAATCCCCTCACTGCCCTGAAAATTCTATGTCTCGGTTATTTTAAACTGCATAATCAGCACCCAGCGAAATTCCTGGGTGCATTAAGTGTTCAATAAACAATGCATGAATGAGTATAATACCTTTAAGCATTTCATTTATCTATATATAATTATACCACTTCTATCAATTCAGGGATTAGCCTTCTAAAATCATTTAAAATATTTGGAACTTACTCTTAAATGGAAAATTCAAATTTTCTGAGAAAGGTAAAAATTCAAATAACCTGTTATTAGAATAAGGAGATGTTCTTCTTTTGAGAATTATTCATTAAGTCCAATGTTGTTATAGACAACATACCTGCGGAATACTTTGGGTGTTTCTCCAATTATGAAGGTAGTCTGGTCTGCATGATAGATTTTCTTCTTCTTCTTCTGGCTTACTGGGTGTGAAAGGTAAAGGGAAAATGAAGAACTTCCTTCACTTGGTTGTTGGTCTTTCTTTGCATGCCCCAATGTATCTGATTTCCTTTTTTCTGTATGTATCTGAGAAAAGGAAAGGAAGCAAAAACTAAATGTGAAAAAGAATCAGTTTGGATCAAATAAGGCTATTTTACCTTTTCCCAATACTCTTTATAACCAAGTATATCATATTCTGTAACTGATATAACTGCCAAAAGATGTTATTTTTAGATCTATAAGAAGAAGATACAGGCAAAACTGCTTTATGACTCTTGTGAAAGACATAAACATAAGCCAATAATTTGTTTTCATTGTGTCTATTGTTTAAAATATATGGTAAAGATAAATCTTTTTAAAGGTATAAGATTTTTAAAGTATAAAGGTATAAAGATTTTTAAGATATAAGATTTTTAAGATTTATTTATTTATTCGTACAGAACTGGGGTACAGGCCACAGATGCGGAGGGTGAGAGGATTCACCAGAGACAGAGTGGAAAGAAGAACAGGC